GCTGGGCCCCCACATTCCCAGCAGTCGCTAGGGGCAGCCAAAGTGACGAGGAACCGGACTGACAGCGGGTGATGAGGAAGCGGGGGCGGCCAGACTCTGCGCTGACAGATGGCCCCGTTCAGCCCCATGTTAGCACGAGCGGTTCGGGGCAGGGCTGCCTCTGGCTCTGTCTGCGGAGGGGCCCCACGTCCCTGGCAACACGCACCGTGGTAGCACAGCCCGGGGGGAGGGCAAGACGTGGGGAAAGGCTTCCCTAGGTTCATGGAACCAGGCCCAAGGGCTGACCCTGCGCCCACCCAGCCAGCCACCGACTCCTCCAGCCTAGGACAGGTGCTGCCTCGCCATCCCCCCTGCCCCACTGTCCCAGAGCGCCGGGATGTGGCTCTGAGTCTGACTCTGCTCACGGGGCAATGGAGGAGATGGCTGGCTCCGTGCTACCTCTGCCAGCCCCCCCAAGCCCACTTGCTCAGGTGCAGCCTGGGAGAGGCTCTGCAGGGCTTGGGGGAGCAGGGGAGAGAAGGGGCAGGAGCCCGGCCATGCTCCATGGCACCAGAGAGCCTGATGGATTCCTGCACGGACACTGGAGCGACTTGACCCAGCTGGGAGCAGCCGGAGGCACCTGTGTCCCCCTCTGTGGAGAGTCCTTACCAGGGGACCCAGAGCCCTGGGAGAAAGGGGCTTTTCATGTGGACAGCTCCATCTGCCACAGATTCAGGATCCGTGGAGCTGAGAGGCCTGAACCTCTCCACACCCGTCCCCCAGCCCTGCCTGTCTGCTGCTGAAGGGGTGACATGACCCTCAGTCGCTAAGCTCAGCTCTGCCTGGAGTATTTGCGGACAGCGACCGTCCTCAGCTCTAGGGCTCCCTCCCCAAGCAATGATCCAACCCCTAGGGTCCCTCTACCTCCCACTCCCGCCCGTTTTCCCTCCCCCCATTCCCACAACCTGCTAGCTGCTAGAAGGCCTGCTTCAAAGCCCATGGAGGCCAATGGGAGCCTATGGCAAGCGCTAGTCCTCTCCTGACCCTCTGTACAGCACCGTGCTCTCCTACAGCGCTAGACCAACCACCAGCACTGGAGCAACATCGGCAGAAGCGAACTCTCTAGAGCTCGTTCCAGGCCAAAACCCCCCCCCCCCCCGAAGACCCCAGTCAAAGGAACGGAAAGCCCGTACTTACCCAGCAGGGAACAGGCAGCCCAAAAAATCAGAGGCCCCTTCATGAAGAACTCTGTGAGCTGGGAGGCGGAGATGGGGTTTTCTGAAGTCCAGGTGAGTCACCTCTGCAGGGAATGCGTTTCCTGCCTTTGGGAGTGTGAGCACCACTCCTCCAGATCCGGAGTGGAGCTACCGGCCTGTCTTCGCTCCCATCAGCGCAGATGAAGTGGCGTGTGCAAGGGGAACTGGAGTCCATGCACACTTGGCACCGTTCAAAGGTGCACAAGGAGTGAAAAGTTCCCTGCTTTCTGAACTGGCGCCAGGACCTGTTTTCTGATAAGGAACTGCCTGCCTGAAAACCCTGGCTGGTATTTCCCTTCCTCCGGCCGGCTTTTCTGGTTGGGTGGCTTTGTCTCTGCTGCTTTAAAAGGCAGAACTAGTGTTGGTGCATGTGCCTGGTTATGTAAACTCTCAAAACAATGCACCTAATTACACTGAAAACACCTGGGGCTGCTTCCTTGACTCCAAAGACACTCACATGGGCAACTTTAAGCCTGTTGCATTTGCTGTGCATTAGAGTCGACGGGCTGATGTGTAGCACCATCCTCTATGGGGTGGAATCTGAATTGGCCACCTGTGTGTCAAAGCCTTTATATCATTCATTATGGAGATTTTCCTGTAGCTCAAGCAGTAGAGGCCCAGAGTTTTGGAACAGGAGGAGCTGAGCTGTATCCCCTGCTACAGCTGTGAAGTTTCAAGGGGATGGTTTGAGAACATGATTTTGGTAACTAATTGACCATTCATTATCAGTGGGAAATAGGTCAATGGAGGGATGATAGGAGTTACTATAGAGAACTTTCTGGGTGTCTGGCTGGTGAGTCTTGCCCACATGCTCAGGGTTTAGCTGATCGCCATATTTGGGGTCGGGAAGGAATTTTCCTCCAGGGTAGATTGGCAGAGGCCCTGGAGGTTTTTCGCCTTCCTCTGTAGCATGGGACACAGATCACAGCTGGAGGATTCTCTGCATCTTGGGGCCTTCAAAGTATTTGAAGGCTTCAATATCTGAGACATAGGGGAGAGGATTATTCTAGGAGGGGTGGGCGAGATTCTGTGGCCTGCGCTGTGCAGGGGGTCAGACTAGATGATCATAATGGTCCCTTCTGCCCTTAAAGTCTATGAGTCTGAGTCTAAGTGACCAGGATAGCTAGCCCACAAACAACCATCCTACTGTTGCTATGGCTGCCTGCAGCAGAATGTTCCCCCAGTCCCCAAAAATCAGGAGTTTGGTCCCTCAAAGAATCATGAGATTTAAGCTCTGTTCAGGGCTCTTGTTCTTTGCCTTCAGAACGTTGAGCCCATATGCCGTGCGCCGGGGCTGCCACCGCCCATGTGCTACATGCCTGGGGCCAGTGCCGCTCCTGTGCTTCGTGCCCGGGGCTGGTGCCACTCCTGTGCCGCACGCCCAGGGGTGGAGCTGCCCGTATGCCATGCGCCCGGGGCTGGCGCCGCTCCTGTGCTGCGTGTCCAAGGGAGGGCCGCCCATACGCCGGGCACCCAAGGCCGGAACAGCCCATGTGCTGCATGCCCGGGGCTGGCGCCGCCCTGTGCCGTGTGCCCTAGGGCAGGGACACCCATACGCTGCACGTCTGGGGGTGGGGGCGAGGGCGGGGCTGGCCCCGATCACTTGGTGGGGGCACAGAAATGGCCCGGTGGGCACCATGGTGTCCATGGGCACAGCGTTGGGGACCACTGCGGTAGGGTAGATTCACATGGTGATTAATTAGTCTTGCCCAGTCAGTCAGCTCCATGCACAGAGCCCTGAGCCTCTGACTGGACGGAGCTGATTAACCACCTGTGCCGCCAGTCACAATTTCAGGCTTTTCTCTGCAATCACAAGGGACAGCGGCCTCTTTGAACAAGGCTGAGATCCCCCACCAGCCAGGTGTCAGGAGACTGTGAGAGAGCCACAAGAACTGGCTCTGACGCCCACTCTCTGTGTGGCTGGGACGGGCTCCCAGGCACAGCCACAGAGTGTGTGGAAACCCCCAAATCCCTGCAAGCGCTAAGCCAGAGCTCCCTGGCCAGGGGTGCAGAGCTATTGCTCAGTGTCCTACCACTCACAACAGGGTGAAGTCCTGGGTCTCGGTGCAGCATAGGCCTGCCCTGCCCTCCTGTGTAAGTCCAGATTCCACCCAGAGCAAAAGAGCTGGTCCCTGACCTCCGGCTGCTAACAGCACCATGGCTTTCCACGCAGAGCGCGCCCGCAGCACGTAACAGGCCTGTGCTAAGAACGGGGGCAGGGTGCCCCCCATTCAGGAGTGGGACGGTTGTATTCTTTAAAGCCAATTTAAAACCCCTAATGACATGGTTTCCCCTTTAATTTCTCCTTGGAGTTAGGGTAAGTGCAAAGCGTTTCCTCCCCCGAGCACAAACCATCCCAAATGAGCCCATGCCCACTGCAACCTTCTAACATTAACTGCATGCACAGTAATAAAGCCACATACACCATCATCTGGTATGACGTCCTATACGGTATGAGGAAAATACCGCACCTGCTGCCTCCCCCACGCCTGGCCTCCAGCAGCAGGAAGACAGAAGCCCCACTGAGTGCTCCAAGTGTGCCACAGAGTCACAGAAAAGCGGGTGTATGCATCCCTGGCACGCTGCAGGAGCCAGTCAGTTAATCAGGCCAAACCCACCTATCAATTAGCACAGCTTGGGCTCAGTCGCACAGCCCTGTGCATCCAGGAGCTCTAGTAGGTGACGCCTGTAAGCCAGTCCCGTCTCTGCCGGCCTCCTTAGGTACAGCCCTGTGTTGCTAGCTGATTGCTGCCGCTCATGGCGACCTATGTCAGGACCCCGGCGTGCGTGCTGCCCCGGGTTCAGAGCCTGCGTCCCGCGCCGCGAGGCACTTGAGAACACCGTCTGACGGCCTCGCTTATCCCGCTCCGTTCTCAGAGGGGTGGAGCCCGCCTCTTGGAATCGGTTCCTCTGGAGTCGTTGGGACTGAGCTGGAAGCGCAGAAGTGGGTTTGGAGTCCAGCCCACTAGGCTACACTGCCGCATCGTCTGCAGCGCGGGCCTGACTGGAGGCTAAAGGCCAAGTCACAGCAGCGCTGCTAACGCTTGCCAGGGGATCACGGGGGCTGGGTGTAGGAAGGACCCGGAGAGCTCTGTGGCGCTTGGAAGTCAGCGTTAGCAGCACAAGTCAGTCCAACAAGAGGCACGTTACCTTGGGGGTGGGGGGAACTATGGATGGCACTCCAAGAATTCAGAAAGTGGCCGAGGGCTGCACTCCTCTGTGATGTTAATGGAGGGGGTGCGGGGTCTGGGAGGGAGGCTGGGTGCAGAAGGGAGCTCGGGGTAAGGGACTGGGGTGCAGGAGGAGGTGCAGGGTCGGGGGGGAGGCTTGGTGCAGAAGGGAGCTCGGGGTAAGGGACTGAAGTGCAGGAGGGGGTGCAGGGTCTGGGAGGGAGGCTGGGTGCAGAAGGGAGCTCGGGGTAAGGGACTGGGGTGCAGGAGGAGGTGTGGGGTCTGGGAGGGAGGCTGGGTGCAGAAGGGAGCTCGGGGTAAGGGACTGGGGTGCAGAGGGTTGGATTATAACCTGGGGCAGAGGGTTGGGGTTCAGGGTCTGGGAAGGGGCCTAGGGGTGGGGAGCAGAGGATTGGAGGAGGGAGGGGCTGGGGTGCCAGAACAGGCTCTGGCAAGGAGATGCTTACTAGTGATGCAATGGTGCAGTCGATGAACTGACAAGCAAAAGCTGATAGGTTAATACCACAGACCACACGCATTCCCCTCCCCCTGCCAGTCCAGTTTTTAGCAGGCTTGTGCCGGGTCCAGGACTACCCCCCGCCATGGCTCTGCTTGGTAATGAATTTGAAGTATTAGTAATTGGATGACGGATGTAAAGGAGTATTTACCTACCTGCCTCCCCTCCCCCCGCTGCTGCCTTTGTGTCAGAGGCAACAAAATAATCGACTACTCAATTAACCGATATTTCACATCCCTCATGCTTACCTGGGCGATTCCCAGCCAGCAGCTTCTCTGGCTTTCATGTTCCAGCAGGCCGCTCAGAGCAGCCGGTTGCTGGGCCATTTTCTCAGTGAACAGCTTGAGCCCGAGGGGAGGGGTACTTTCAAACAGGCAGCTCCCATTGTCTGGAAACAGGCCAATGGGAGCTGCAAGATTGTACTGGGGTCAGAGGCTGTGAGAGAACCCTCTCCAGCCTCCCCCAGGCTTGCAGCTATTCATAGACAAACAGGGTCCCACAGGCGGCTGTTCTGAGCACTGTGTGGGGGCGGAGCGGTCAGGGACCCTGGCTGAGGCTCCCCATGGACCGGAGCCAGGGCCGGCCCCCAGCATTTTGGCACCTGAGGCGGGGAGCTCAAATGACGCCCCCAATCCCCCTCGCTTGGGCCAAAAGTTTGAAAGGTCTCAATTCTGCCTCCTTCCTGTTCTACTCCTCTCATGGAACTGCTCTGCTCCCTACCTCAGTAAAGGAGAACTAGCAACTTCAAATGCCTTGTTCAAAAATTGTAAGTAACACTTCACTTTCAAACTTTGCCTGAACAGCAAATGTAACTAGTGTGCTGTGCACGTAGAGCAGAGAGAATCCATCTGCACCAGCAGCAGACACGATCGTCTACACTCTGGGTCCTAGTGACCCCCCCCCCCCCGAGTCTGGGACCTGAGGCGGCTGCCTGAGGCCAGCCCTGACCGGAGCCAATGGTTTGATGGGCCGGATCTGGCCAGGGGGCTGTATTTTGCCCGTCCCTGTGTCACAGTGGCAGTCCCAGCATCCAAACTGTTCTGAGCCACTGCCCTCTGGTGGCAGGATAGACAGGGAGCACGTGTCTCCACTTCCAGGGGAGCGTTGTGTGACTCACAGCGGGGACTGCAAGCCAGGCGCTTGGGTGGCCGCTCAGGAGAGATTCCAGTGCTGCCCAGCTGATTAGCAGGGTGCCCACAGCGAGGTTTGTGTTTAAACGGAAAAGCTTTTCCATTAAAAGTATTTGCGCAAAATCATGCCAGTGTAGATGCAGCCTCAAATTTCTTACAGGTGCTGTCATACCACATCCCCCCCCCCCCGCCTTCAGCCCCCCCACGGGGGGGGGCGTG